TTATTCGCGTTTATCACATGTGTCCGCAGACCGGTTAACTGACTGATAACTTGTCGTCCACTTAAAGTGATTTGAAGCATTAGTTGCGCATAGAAAGAGAAGTGTTGAAGCCGCAACGAAAGCCAAATCCTCAAACACGCGAGACATTTAAAACGATCAGAAGTAATGGTGGCTGAGCGTTGTCGCCCCCACACCATATAGTCACTTTTGCACATTTCTAAGGCACTTACGGTTGCGTGCAAGAGAACTGCACTTGAGAGAACTTTTTATTAGCTCGCCTTCGGGTGTCAGCTGTTTCCCGGTATCTACATAATGCTTTGTCGTCTTAGAAAATTTTTCATTTAACAGGATACACGTAGTCAGTTGACTAGACAACTATTTCATTTATCAAAATGTTTCGTATTTTCCCGCCTGGTGATCGGAAAAAGTACCAAAGGGCCGAGAGGTTTTGCGGCGATTTATTAAACGCGAGCAATTTACTTACCACACTGGGCCCAATCGATCTGGTAACCCAACGGAACACAAATAGCATCGTAGTTCGACGCTCAGCTTGAGACCAAAATGGAACAACTCTCAACGCACGAACAGATCTAGTTCAACCACAACAATGTCAGTGACTCCACTTACAAGCAGCTGGATAAAGTTGCTCCGTTTATTTTACTTGTAAGTTCGTAAAGTACTGTGAAATGCAGGAACGCAGGATTTCACCGTGTGTCCAAAAAATAGGACGGTTCAATGCACCTGTGAATGGAGAGATTTTAACATCTTTATTACAACCTTAGTTCAATTGGTAAGACATCAAACGGATCACGTTTGAGCGGTGATGACGAGTTTCCTTCTAGTAGACACAAAGCGAGAATTTGTTATTTTTAGAGCACAATCGAATGTCCTATTCTTCCGTAAACCTGCAGTAGAACGTGGCCTTTACATTTGCATCCCCAAGTTACACATACACAAATCTAGTGGGCTCCGGTGTAACGTGGCCCCAAGCACAAAAGTGGAGTCAACACGGACTCTGGAAACAATAGTGGTGATCCTGAGACGATAACTAGCCGAAATTCTCTAACTTTGTCCACGGGGCGTTTTCTAACTGCGTAACCGGACCATCCCAGCTTAAACTTATAACACAGAGGTGACTCATTAACGGAATGAGCGTAGGCTGACAAGTGACGCGGAGGTAATGAGGTAAGGCAGGGTTGTACATTTGATGAGCAGCACGGAGTAGCACTTCAATATTCCTATCACATTGATGATGTGAATAGTATACCTGTTATAAGCTATATTATGCAGTGGACCGTATACTTTTGCTGAGACACCTGAGGCGGTTCGATCACGTGAGCCATATGGGTTCGATGCGGATACCGAAACAACTATTATATGGTCAGCCGAGTATTGGGAAGGGGCATGTGGCGAAACCGAAACTTCGTTACCAGGGCGTGATCAAAGTGAGCCTCTCACGTTCTAATCTTGTTTTTGGGTCATGGGAATCGAATGCTGTTGATCGGCATGCATGGCGCGATCTGATCACGAAGGCAGTTGTCGAGGTGCGAGAGAAAGACCTCATGCATACAGGGAAGAGGCGGCAAGTGCGGAGGCAGCAGGCGCCGATGGGTTGTACTCCATCGACATCGAGCGCATGGTGCTGTAGCACATGCGGTCGCGAGCGCGTGAGTCAGACAGGCCTAGTAAGCTATGGGCAAGGTCATTCGGTGCCAGCACCGAAACAAGGACGACAAGCCCTGCCGACAGCGTTTGTAGGTATGCTGCATTCGATTTACTAGCCGCGTGCTTGCATACTGAGTCTCTCTATTTCAGGTGGTGGGCTTAATATATTGTCCTAATGCCTTTTTATCGCATATTAATGTCTACATGAACTATCTTATATAAACTTGAACACGTCCCTTAAGCTAAGTGTAGTTAACTTCGATTACATTTTCATGTTTGTGACATTTCCTTAAGATATCTTTTCTGACGTTTTGAACTTATCGTGGATTTGTTCGTAACCGATTTCTTTCACATACTCTTTTAGTGAAGAGTTCTGCCACCGTATCTGTATGAATTATTGTATTTATTTTATTTCATCTTGTCGTTTCAAGTGATTGGCTGTTGTTTGACATCCCAGGTGTGGCTGCGCTTGATGTGCATGTTGACAAGGCGCCTACCTGTCTATTACCCACTATCTTGTCCATACTGACTCCAGGAGACAGTTGGTCGTTGCTGGAGGGGACGGGGTGCACGGTCCTTGTTGTCATGCTAGGCTCGAAGAGTGCTTCCATGCACTCAGTGTGGAGCGGACTACGTTCCAGCCACCGCCTTGTGTGCGCTTGATTCCCAAATACGGCGTGCTTGTGTTTGCCTGTGAAGGAGTGTGGGCCGGCTCCGTTGATGAAACGTAGCTCCCATCAACATGCCTCCCGGTCTTATTCGCTCGGGTGTACACTGGATATGGGGTGTGTGGATGGAACTGTGTGTGGTGCAGCGCAAGCCACCCATGGTCCCCCTGTAGGCGCAGTCGTCCTGTGGCTGGCCACAGTGACAGGCAAATCTGAAACCGGATGTCGCCAATCATAAGTCATATGTCACTGTTATGGTTTGCACCTGAAAGGAAAAGAGCATGTGAGTTTTGACCAGCAGTCCAGTGTATCCGGTTTATTTTTGGAAGTTTTCATCACCGGCCTCCACGTGTACTGGTGTTCCATGTGAAATAGATTGAAAATTTTGTCAGGATAATTGGTCATTATCAAACCAAACGGAAGCTCCCACACACACTGGAATAGCGTTAAAGAGCTCAGAGCTCACAAGCAGTATGCGTTGCTTTCGAGCTATGTTCCCTTTCTTGCAAGCGAGTAAAGTAAAGTAGTGGGAAATTACTGGAAAACGGAATCGGACGAACTGAATAAGCAGCTGGGATATAACATTACTTGGCATTTCCTGTCATAGGAGTTACTGTCGCACAAAGGCCTACTGGTTGGCATTAAAAATGGTCGGTTATTCCCCCGGCTTCGAGAAACAAAAGCTGTTATTCAAACACAATTTCAAACACACCGGGAGGAAAACAGGGGCAATTGATACAGTGTTTGGTCTACTTTTTATCTTAATCGATCCTTTATCACAGTTGCGCTTACGAATGCAGGTGAAGTCTTGGATGTGCAAATTTTTCTGGTAATTCTGTATATTCAGCTCTTGGTGATGCAGTCGGTTTTACTGGGAATCCACTCCGTGTGTGGGCTTGTTTTGCTCGCAAATACTGATTGACAACAATGTTTCGGAACAAATGGAACTGTGTCAATGCAACCAATAGGTCTCACGCAAGTGTTTTGATACTCACAGTGGGGTAGTGAAGAGTTCTGAATTGGTTGCATTGTTTTACCTAAGTTGTGCAACAGTATACGACGCAAAAGCGAGGCACCCGGATTGACGCATCAATCAGGGACACCAAGTTCACCGGAGCAAATCATAAGTAAAAGCACCTAGTGTACAATTTCGGAGAGTGTAGCCAGTCCAGATACAGGGCTGCTTGTGCACTACATATTTTCCTTTAGGTAGCTATAGCAACCAAACCGTTGTCCGGGAAGGTTGTGGGTCAATATCTACGATCAATGTTAAATGATTGTTTGGTTTGGTTGGATCGCAATGCTCGGACACATCGGCACTATTTGGTTCCGATTTCCTCCATCAGTATGTGTGTGTGTGTGCACGGATATCTGTTGATCATGTGTGTACGTCAGACACGTGTGTGTGTGTGTGTGTGTGTGTGTGTGTGTGTGTGTGTGTGTGTGTGTGTGTGTGTGTGTGTGGAAATGGCTACAAAACGCGTGCACCTGAACTGCTAACACAAGTGGCTTGTGCTTCACCACACACAGATCCAGTGAAAATTGGGGAGAAAGGACCAGGAGATAGCCAGAATAGCCGTGATCGTTTCGAACCCACCTCTCTTTCCGTCAACTTGCGTAGCGTTCAGAAATAGGTGGTTCCGCTTGAGAACCCTCCCAGGTCATGGTGGTGCTTAAGACGTACGGGTGCAGCGTACGTCGCAAATGGGACCTTGCTTTGGACCAGATCGCTATCCGTCAGTCATTCATGTAACGGTAGTTGAGTTGCAGTCTGTTCAATAGTGCCAAGCGCTGCTGCGAACGCGGGACACCACATTCCCACCATTATCCAGTATTAGTTCCTGAACGCCAATGGGAGAAGTGGCGGCATACGAAAAGCATTCATCTACTCATCTAATGGGGGGTTCAACACCTTTTTCGCGATTAGTGCGTAGCCATACTATTCGTCGTTGACGCAGCATCCGAAAACTTCAGTCCAATTAGCTCAAAGACCAGATAAGCCCACAGGGCAATACTTAAGCAATGTGGCTGTGATTTACTGTGATCTGTTCCATGTTGCCTAATTCAGGTACAAGGTAACCGTAATTCCGGCGAGGAAGTTCTAACATGTGAATGGTTGAATCCAACAAGTAAACAAAGTAATAATATGCAACAGCGAAAAGCTCGATTAGAGTAAACCGATAATATGGAACTTGATTGGGTAAGTTGAATGCTACAGTCTCAACGGGACGAAACATTTGACATCAAATGCGCTCGCTACGGCCTTTGTACCAAAGGGGCAGCAGAATGTACTGCTGAAGGTCAATGAAAGAAGACGAGATTGTGTTGCTTATAGGAAGTTCAAAGAGTCATGTGTAATGTGGAAGCACCTGTTCCGGAGACCAAGGCAAAATATCTGGTCGCGCAGGTATTCGGGAATAGCCAAGGCCTAGGTAATAAAATCGTATTCAGTCGCTCTAAAAGACTGTTAGTATTCGTGTAGAAAATATGCCACATACGACTTTCATTGTTCCCGGGTTGGGTGTACTGACACCATGGTTTCACTGACCCCCATATATGCTATATCCCGCGATGTACATTAAGACCAGAAAAACCGGTGCCAAGTGAAGCTAAGGTCAACAAAACGGTTTCAATGTTACTGTTATCTATCTAATAATTTATACTCACTCTTTTGTTGATTCAAGTCCCTTTGGGGTTTCAACTTCCGAACGCTCCCCTGTGGCCACAAGTAGAGATTCTTTCCTACGAAGTGTAGCGCTCATCTCTCTGTCTGGTTCCACCAACTCTGTTACATGTTTGCGTGGGATAAGTCCAAGAGTATTGCAATATTGTTCATAGGTTATAACTCCTTCTGTGAACGGGAACAGTTTCATCCAGCTGGTAACAAACTTTTCCGTATAATTCATTTTTTTCATATATTCCCTCAGATCTTCCATCGTTATTTTGCCAGTATTTTTTACATCGATGGCATGGAAGCATTTCCTAAATTCGGCCATATCTAAGCTGACGATGATAAGGAACCTAACAACTGTCCTGAGCTGGTGTGGCTAGTAACTGTCTTAAGTGCGCCATGTATAGCGCGTAGAACGCCTACACAGCTGGCAACGCTGCCATTCGCTGGGTATCACGTGTGTCGTAGCCGTCGGAAGGATTTTGTCCAATAGAGGTCGAGAACGATTATAGATTGCAATGTGGCGTTTGTAGCTTACCCCGATACCGTGTTTGGACAAGAAACAACCGAATGGTTTGGCCACGCTGTTTCCCTCACCGAACACATCTCTCTGTGCTTTGTTAAGATAGTAAAATTGTTCACTTTTGAGGTCCCTTTTGCATACGAATCTTCGACTTTCTAATTTCACCTCAAGGATGACATACATGCAGATCATCTGACTGAGTTTACTGTTAAGGACTGAAGGTCTAATTAAAAAGATTCAATCCTAGGTCAACTGGAAGTAATTTATGGTTTTTGCAGAATTTGGTGATATGATACCACATTGAACTGAAAGTATCACGAAAATGCATAATTGCAGTAGCACCAAGTGCAGATAATGGTGAACGTTTACCGTCTGATCCCACTTGCTTTGACCCAGCAATATAACTAATCCGACGTTACCCGCCTCATGTATCCAGTTGATAACCTTTTCTAGTATGATCACATTGTTACTTGATTCGTCCGGGCTTTTAGGGTTGGCAGACTGTTTCATGTGATTGTTCTTTCTACTAGTCCCATAACTGCTTCGGAACCATGTGGACGACTTTACCAGTAAGACATACGAGGGCAGTGCAATACGTTTCCGGATACTCAGTACACAGATTAGATGCGGATGACCTGGCAAGAAAATATGAACTGTAATCCATTCTGAACCTTGTCCAGTGATTTCAGTTCACAGAACCCTGTATCAGCAGTGCTCCTGAGCCTTTCAGGACGTACCACATTGGTGGGGCGTTGCTCAGAAACTCAATCCTTGAAGAAGACCTCGGCGTGTTGGTCTCCTCTGATCTACGGACTACACAGGACACGTTACGAAGGATTGCTGTTGCCAACAGGATGTCCCATGACATACGAAGAGTCTTTTCACGTATGATTCCGGAGATCTTCCGACTATTGTTTACTTCGAGTATGTGCGCCCCATACTCGAATACGGATTACCTGCCGTCTTCCCTCACACCAAGTTCGTATGTGACCTCGTTGAGAAAGTCCAACGGCGGGGATCGAAACACATCTTGGAGGTACTGGACTTGCCTTATCCCCTGAGACTTCAGCGCATGAATCTGTTCACCCTGAATTAACGCCCACGTCGCGGTGACCTGATTTTCACCAGGCGTATCCTGAGAGGAGAGACGGGGACGGAGCTGCAGGCATGCTTTCAATTCAATGCAGACAGTTCAACTCGAGGCCACAACTGGAAACTGTTTAAACCAGAAGGCTCCGGGTCTATCCTGCTCTCAATCTATCAACTCGCGCAGTCAACGCTTGGAACGACTTACCGAAGCATCTGGTGGATGCCCAGACAGAGGAATGTTTCAAGCGGATGTTAGATTCTTATCTTTTGAATACGATGGGCCCTTGCAGCTTCCACTGTAGCTGCCATGGTCCTTGGTGGATTACGGCTTAATATCGAATCGCGGCCTCCACACAATGATCGGGAAGCGATGGAGCTGAAAAAGGATTTCTCCTTCTGCTCTCTACAATCCTATGATCCTATGAGCAGTCCGGCACAACTCACAACGGTCGCCAAATTCAGACCGTAAGTATCGAATTGAGTCCATCTCACTAGAGGGTGAGGATTTGGTGAGCTTATAAATGTGGTTTAAAGCAGCGCCAGTGTGTTGAGCGAGTGCTTGCTGCATTTGGTGATAGTACGCCTTCAAGAACCACCACGTTTGAGTGGTTTGCCGAATTCAAACGGGGCAGGCGGTCTCTGGATAATGAGGCACTTGTGCTCGACCTATGCAAACCACCACTGCCGACTACATTGATGTTGTGCAAGCGATGCTGGAGAGGGACGCGCGGATAACTGTGGTGCAGCCGGAGAAAAGCATCGGAATCGAATTGAGAGCAATCCGCACTACCCCACGTGAGAACCTCGGCCTCACATAAATTGTCCATGCTGGATAATCCATCAGCTAAGTGAGGATAAGAAAGCAGCTCGCGTGACTTAGTGGTGCACCATGCTTGCCATGTATGATGGTGGACGCTCCAATGCTGTTTGGGAGATCCTCATTGGTAATGAGACGTTGGTGTACAGTTTCGATACAGAGACCAAGCAACAATGGGCTCTGTGAACGGCCGTTGGGCACCGTTTCAGAAATTCCGACTTGAACGCAGTGTCACGAAGTAGAATTTAGTAGTGTTCTTGTCCAAAATCGGTCATGTGGCTATCGTACCGCTCGCACACGAACGCAAGGGTCACCGGAGAATGGTATGCCATCCAACGCATGCCACAAGTGCTGGAAGCTGTAACTAGACTTCGTCCAAGAACTCAAGCACCATTGACCTTGCTGCACCATGACAACCTAACTGAAATCTGGCCTCATGTCGTCGCATACTTTGTGAACAGCGAACGCATCCAGCAGGTTGGTCACCGATCCTACTATCCAGACTTGGTATGGTGTGAGATATTTTGTTCCAAAATGTAAAGCGCTTTATGCGTGAAATCCACTACGAGTTTCTGGAAGCTGCAGTAAATCTCGTTATTTGTAACGGGGTTTAGGAAACCAGTCCAGTATGCTCGACCTTACCACCTAAGCGCAGGTTACCGGAGTCAGCGGATCAGTTCGATCGAGAGAAAGCGTGAACCCACCGGGAGACACAGCGATGGCTGGACAGCGAATCACGAGTGGCACACGTATCTAGAAACCGACAAACCGGATTGGACAATAGAACATAGAGGGCGCACTAGCAATTCGAGAATCGCTTTTAACGGCAAGTTTCAGAGTGCAAAGTCAAATATGAGCGGTCCAAAGAAATACGGCCAATCAGATGCCGAGCACGAAAGACGTGATCATTGCGCGAGACAGGAAGACAGCGACCGAAGAGGAATAACATAACCCAATGAACTAAAAAGGGGAACACAACCAATGAGGTGAGCCGAAAACCATGATACCCACTGAGAAGGCTCGAAGATTAACAGTGTTTATTTCCATTAAATAAGCTACACTATACTGAATGAACGCCTGCTTTCCGCCCGCCGCCATCGTGACTTTTTGATCGTGTCCGTGTCACTTTACATTATTGAGGTGCTTGCAGGGTTACCCGTTTCGACATGGTCTAACTGCTTCTCCAAATAGTTTGCGTGCATGGAACTGTGCATGAACGCTAGTGGGGAGTACTTTGAGAGAATGTAATGCTTATTTTGTAAAAAAAATAACACTGTGCATTCGGAAACTCTGCTCTACCTTAGTTAGATTGAAAGCCAGATGCAAAGTGATCTCTGCTGCCAAAATTTTTTATTTCAGTGTTTTACATAAGGCAGCGCACTCTTGAATGATTATTTGTGATGGATGTCGACTTCAACCACATTTCCAACACAACATTTCCTTTGCGGACCTTCAAGGAGAGAAGTTTGAGATCTAATTATAATCTAGGACTCGGATGTACGCAGCGAGTGTGTCGTTTACTTACGTTCTAGTTCTATTTGATCATGATGCGCTAATGTTTCCTCCTTCATCTGCGTGACAGCATTGGTGACGTGGCCACGTGATCGCTGCTGACCAACCACCTGTCCTTGCCATCAGATGAACTTAACCTTGGCTAGTAATATGCCATGAATTAGTGCCTCTTACCTTGATACTAGTTGTAAAAGCAGATGTTGGATAATAATACAAAAGGTACGTTTGTCAAGGTAATAATGGTACCAGAAAAGTGAGGGACCTATTGCGTGTCCTAGTATATAATGGTCGTGAGTCCAGATCAGGTTTGCTTCGCAGTTAAGTGTAATGCCAGATAGGATTTGGAACGCGGGTGAAGCATGTCGAGCCAGTTTTCAACTCATCCAATTGTGGATGTTGGGCGTCTTGATGTGACACAAGTACATCCGTTTTGTAACCTGGTATGAGATAAAGTCTGTCCCAATCACCATGGATCTTACGTGCTTGGACGCGAACGTCGTGCTAATGGATAAAAGCTTGCCTTGTCGCCTATGCGATGACGTGCTAATTGAATGTGGACCCCGTGGTTTGTTGAGTGGGTGCAGTGCCAGTGTTAAAAGTAGGTAGATCAGATGAACTGAAAATGCGAAAATATTCTAACCACATAGTTGCTGCGTATGCAAATTGGGTGTTGCCCGCTTGAAAACACTGCATTCCACTACGCGTTTCGACTTGTTGGATATCATCAGGCAGAGATAGAAAGTCTCAAACCCGGGCTCGTTCGGATTTTAGTTTGGGACCACTACTCGTGTCAATGTCCATAAGCTTCAGCTACGTTCCTAGGGCTCGAATTCGTTAAGGTTCACTTAAATGTGCATTGCGGTCTACACTGATCCTGCGAGTCGCAATCCAGTAACACAACGTACTTTAAAATGACCCTCCATCAGTAATTAACCGCTGTGCCAGACGTTGCCAGGAGTTGCCCGTCGTGACTCGGTGGCTTAAGAGCAGCGGCCACAATTAGCATCACAATGGTCCCGGTTTTCGAGGCATGCTATCCCTACCTGATAAGATCAAATGAGGTTGGAAAGCGTCATGGAGTGCAGCGTTTTCGAGCGGACAACACCCAAGTTCCATCTGCTTCAGCCACGGTCCGATTGAGCGAATTGACCAAAGTTCGGTTCAATGCGAACCACTGTCGACAAAGAGGTTATGCGTCGTAATGCAATCACACAACAAGCATTTCAAGATGACCTTCCAGAACCGTTGCTACTTGTATACCTTCCGGCTCTCTGCAACCAAATAACCATAAGACTGATACACGGAACTTCGGTCGCGTCCATCTGTTGTCAAGACCGTCTGGCTGCTGTAGCAGCGTATTATTTGTGCAGCTTATGGATCCTCTGCGAATCTCTTCAACGACCGGCTCGGTGCTCTGTCAACATCTGTGCAGAA